AAAAAAAGTGAATTAGGAAATTGCCTATATACCGAACTGAACAACTGTTGTTCTCGACTTCAAAAACCCTTAAGATTTTAAAATGGAAAGTTTTTCAATTTTTTTTAAATATATTTTTTATTTAAAAATTCAATGTATAACGTGGATGCACAAACATCTCATTTTATTTCAGTGTTAAATTCTGTTTATAGTAACAGATTATAATTAAAAATGTCTCTGGACTTTTACTGGTTGATGATTTTCTTTATTCAGACCCCGCTGATTTTTAATTGGTTACCTCTGCGCTATCAGAACGCTTATAGTATTGAGTGTGTCTCAGCACCCCCCTTCAGTGTCCACCATATTGGGTCAGTCCATTTGCTGCACATGTTCAGGAAGGTCCAAACAAGTTTTCAGATGCCTCTAGTATTTTTATTACAAAAAAGCAACTAGCACCAAATCTAGCAACTTTTTCCTGCTACTGAAGACTTTAAAAGCAGCGACCTCTGCTCTCCAGAGCAAGTAGATTGGTAACCCCGCCTCCTGCTCTCCTCTATCTTGTCTGCTGTCATGATTCATGCAGCCAATATTTCATCCAAATGAAAAATGGAGAACAGATAATCAGATCATGGCTTGTCTACAGTGAAAAGAAGGACTGGTTATTTTCTTTTGCCGTTGCCTTTTTTAAAACACAGGAAGGAGCAATCAGCCAAGTTAGAATGGGCTTAGTGATGGAAAATCTTTGATTCCTTTTGAGACATCATGAAAAGTAAGCTGAGCACATTGCCAATATGAAAAGAAAAGACAACAGAAAACAGAGAGAGGAAAACAGCAAGAAAAGGGATAAGAGGAGAGGGACAAAACCTAGAACAAATATTAAATCTATAAAATTTTAAAGCCAGGCATACACTGTGCGTTTTTTTTCAATCGTTGCACGCAGCTACAGCTCACACTGTACGAAGAAACCCTGCGGTTTTGTCGTACAGTGCGAGTTCACAGCTGACGATGTATGTTCGACACGATGCTCTGATGGGATCTACCAATCTCTACCTGCTCTAAAAACCACGTCGGACTCAGCTTCGCAGTGAGATGGCGCTACTGGGACTCGTCTCTCTGGAAGCCAAACCAGTAGAAGAGGAATATGAAGCTCACTAGAGTGAAACGTGCTGCCTTGGTAATTTGTGCAATTTTGTGCTGAAAGCCCTAAAAAGAAAAGGCGACGACATATTTGGACAAAGACATGGCTGAGCAAAGATGGCTACTACGGTCTGTCAATTTTACAGAAAGAACTCCATTTCACTCGCACACGACGGTTGAGAGAAAAAAATCAAACATGCTTAATTCTCTTCAACCTCACCATTCCTGATCGGGAGGTGGTCATGGAATCTGATCGCTGCTTGTAATTCCCTGTACACTACACAATGCACAATGCACCATCAAACAGTGTAAGCTTGGCTTTAAGCGTTGTCTTCTCAATTAAAAAGGCCCCATGCCTGTCTTTGCCTAGGGCCCCAAATTTCCTAAATCCGCCCCTGAGCTTCATTACAGGGCGTTACTACAGAATCAAGTCACCACCAGTGCAGAGCTTGTCCAGCAGTTGCAGCAGGTGGGTTTGACTGTGTTTCCACTTTAATAATAGAATACTTGTGGGCAACAAGGACAGGAGGAGGAGGAGCATGTGGTTTCTTCCTATTCTTCCAGACAAAATCTGATTTAGATCTGCAGATTCCCACCTATGGTGGAGAACCAAGGTATTCCGTGATCAGATTAGATATGCTGGATCCGTGGTGTGTAGAATCAGAGTAGATTAACCCTAATCTGAACTGACAGTGGCTGAAACAGAAAGCTAAAAACTACTCGATCACATATTGAACGTGGTTTAAAGGTTGCCATTAGTTACCAGGCTGATGTTGAGGTCAGATGGTTGCCTTTACCTGGAATCTGTATGGACTCGGTCATCTGCAGGATGTCTCTGACAAAAAGCCGAGCAAATGCAGAGAAAACCGGGTCGAGTCCCCATAAGATGGAGGGGGGCTCCTCGGCTGGATCCATCGCAGCTGCCTGCATTTCATCATGGAACCAGATTTCCCTTTAAACGGCCGATTTCACATTCCTGTTGCTCAAACTTATGTTGGTGTCACTATGGCAAGCTGGCGCCCGGAGAAAGTCACGTGTGTAGATGGACGCCCAGTAGGAACACTGCGTGTCCGCCATGTTGTGAGTGGCGCGTTTACAGCCAAATACCAGGAAGCGGTTATTTTTAACTAATTCTGGCAAAATGATTTATAATGTTAGAATCATTCTTAATCTTTTGAAAAAATAATATGTGAATCGAAATAAAGTATAGAAAAAATAAGTTCTTATAATAAGCTTAGACTTTTTTTTAACCCTTGAAAATAAACCAAACAGGCTCATTAAAACCTTTCTTTTGCATTTAATTAGAAACCGTGTGAAAGTAAAAATGTAAAAAATTATCTTTCAAAATATAGAAATAGAAATATTTCTAGTAGAACATATATTTTAAAGTGGTGATGAAACTGTTGATTTAAACGGTTTAATAATATCATGACAAAATGTATTTTGTTATAATAATGTTAATACTGCCAATGTTATAATTGCAAATATATATTATATATAAAACAGCTGAAATCGTTATTTAAACAGGATTATTATATAGGGTTATTGCACAGACTATTAAATAGGTATCTATATCGATGGGTATTTATATATCTATAGTTATTACACAGGGTATTTACCTATATAAGATGGCGCCGCAGACGGCAGCCACGGTGTGTTGGTGCGCACTTTTTAGTTTTATTTTACTATTCTATCCTATTTAGTTTTTTGTCTGCACCAACAACACCAAGTCAAATTCCTTGTAAGTGCAAACCTACTTGGCAATAAACTTGATTCTGATTCTATATTGCACAAGTCATTGCCGTTATAGTGCCGCATTAAAAACAATGAAACATTTCTTGACCGATTTATAATCATACATTTTTTGGTTTATAACATAAACCAACAAATAATTTATGATAAATATTACATAGTACACAATTTCTGTATTTAATTAACTTCAGTTAACAAGTAAGCCCTTTATACCTCCAGGCCACCGTACTTTTTTTTTAAGGCTTTTTCAGCTTCTGTCAACCAAACGCCAGTCACAATATGGTGGTAGCGCTGACGTAACACACTGGACGCTCGCTTTATCTATTTATTTATCTTATCACAAAAGCACCCCCCCCCCCAACAATAACTAGTTTATTTAGGTATTTGTGGCAATGTATTGCAATAAGTTAGATTTGCAATATTTAACAATATATAAATTATGTTTCTTTAAGCGCATATGTACAGTACTGAAGAGGATTAGGGCTAATGACAAAATAAAAAGAAATTGAACTGATTTTTAAATATTATTTCAGTTTAATATGGGGGAAAAGTCAGAATTGTGACTTTAATCTCTGCATTATGACTTTTTCAGAAGTCTGACTTGTTCTTATATTATACTGAAATAAAATGTAAAAATTAGTTGACTGTTTTTATTTTTTCAGTGGCCCAAAAATTCTACCGTAGTATCTAGATAAAGTATGGCAGTCGTAGTTTCACCCAAGGTTTTACCGACACAAAGAAGCTCCTCAAATAGACCGTTATAAAACGATAACGATACATTTGTATTTAGTGTCCGAAATTGATAATTCAGACAGCTGTAGTACATTTGTTGGTCTCCCCTGTCAGCTGAGGGCAGCAGACATCCAGGTTGTTTCCTCTCAACTGTCACGGCTCCCGCGTGCACGCGCCCCTGTGTCTGTGCCGTGGACGCGCAGTGGGTCAGTAAATCCGCTACGAGGCAGCAGCCAGTCCCGCTCCGGGAAAAGAGGAGCGTTTTAACGGTTTTAATGATCACCAAACCGCGGATAAACTACGGCCACCGGCTTCCTTTTAGCTGGTAACGCCGTGCTCCGTCGGAAACAGCGTTAGGATTCGGATAGAGCCCGTTTTTATTTTCTTTTGTGTGTGTTTTTGTTGAAGAAAGAGCCAGCAGACAGACTGGGCTGGTATCGAGCCAGTTGGAACAACGACGAGCTTCCAGAAACAGCAACTTCTTGGCAGAGAGAGGAGAAAACACGAATTTATTCAGTCTTTGAATGTTGTGAGACGGTAGAGTTTGATAGGATTATTATTGGATGTGTTTATCAGATGCGTGGAGTGGTCAGTGGGCAGACTGGAGTCAAAGGCTAAGCTAAGGGTTGATCTGAGCTCATGGAAGCGGACTTTATCTGCCTAATGGAGGGGCTTTAAAACTACAACCTGCTCAATTCTCACTGCTTTATCAACGTTCAACCAGAAGACATCATGTCGTTTTTTAATTTCCGTAAGATATTTAAGCTGGGTGCCGAAAAGAAGAAGAAGCAGTATGAACATGTGCGCAGAGATGAGAATCCGGAGGAGATCTGGGAGATAGTGGGAGAACTGGGAGATGGAGCCTTCGGGAAAGTCTTTAAGGTTGGTTTTTGCTCACTTCTCAAAATCCTTTATTTAAACAGATGGCTTTGGTTTCACAACAGGAACGTGAATTTAAAATGAATAAACAGAATTGTCTGTAAACTCAATCACTTGTTTTTTGTTTAGAAGATCCCTTTTTATTTTCCTTTTCTTCTTCTTTTTCACTTTTAAGGTGGAAACTAATTGTTTAAGTTTAAGTCACAGATTTATATATAACCCTAGATAAATAAAAAACAGTGTAGACTTGAAAGGAATAGTCTAATTACATCTTTACTGATCATTTATAGCAAGGTTTATATAAACATATTTATAAATATATTTGTATATATGTATGTACTGTATGTATACATACATATATATTGTGTGTATATATATATATATTTTATAAATATATATGTGTTTATATGTATGTATGTATATGTACATATGTGTGTGTATATATTTTATAAATATGTTTGTGTATATATATATATTATAAATATGTTTATGTGTATATATGTATTTATAGATATATTTATAAATATATATGTGTATATATATGTACATATACACATATACATTTATATATATATGCATATATGTATACATAATCTTTGTTATAAATGATAAGAACTGCTGCATTACCTGTTTGCACAGAAATTATAAGCAAGTAGACAGCCTTATGGTGGAATTGAATAGAATAGAAATACTTTTATTGTCACAAAAAAATAAATATTGGTAAAAATGTGGAGACAGAGAAATCAAAAAGAAATGACTTATCAGAAAGTGGAAAATGATTTGCAGCAATCACTATATAAAACAGTGCGTTTCTTTCAAAATGCAGCTTTTAAGTTAAGTAAAAGTAAAAACCTATTCATAGAATAGTGCAAAAAATAAACACAACAAGCAGCTCTTTGGAAAAACCAAAAAGCTCCCAGAGACGATGAGAAAAAGATGTGCAAATAGACATTAGCACCTGAGAGAGAGAGTAAATGATTCTAGATCAGATCAATAACCTGTGGAACCAGTAGCATGCTTGTTCACACGTTTTAAGTTTATTTGACTGCAACTGAGGTGATAAAGTCTAACGGTAGCTGGAAGGATCTGGGAAAGTGCTCCTTTGAGCATCTAGAACACTTAGATCTCTCCAGCTGTTTGAGTTGGGGGACTTCTACCCACCAGTTAGCTCTGCCATTTATGCACCTTTATTTGCAGCTGCCACCATCAGCGGTTATTGGAATCAGCAAAACCCTGATTTTAGATTAATGCCAATCGCAGTGAATGGGTCAGTTATGAAATGATTTTGGGTAAAACAAACAGAATGGGACATTTATTCATTATACAGGTCAGACATCCATGAGAAGAAAATGAAAGCTAAAAAAGAATTTTATTTTATTAAGAAAATTAACTTTTTGACATGGCTATAAATCCTTCTGTCAAATTAACTTCTTTAGCTTCTTCTTACCCATGTTCCTCATGCTGACATTTTGTTTCCCGGTGAATGAACCTTTTGCTGGTTTTGCTGCCTTTTGGCGTAATGCCACCACAACAACGTTCTGTTTCCACGTCTGTGATTTATGACTCTTTTAATCTCACCACTGTAATAAAATAAATACCTCTTTTACAGTCATGAAATAAAGGGCTTCGGATTGTTTTCTGGATTACTTTCTCTAGATGTAATGTATTCAGATTTCTGTGCTGTCTTGTTTCGAAAGGAACGGAAAATTGATTTAATCCACAAATATGGTTCAAATATAAAATGTTTCCAACTAGGGATGCAAGTTATTGATTCATTAAATTATCTAAAGTTGATTGAACTTATCCATTCATTAATGATTAACTGATAAGCCGCCATTTGGAAAAAAAAGTTTTATCTTTACAAATTTAAAAGTAATACTGCATCAATACGATTTAAGAATTTATTGTGCCAACTGTATTAAATACTAACTGAATAAACAAAAAAACTTTCACACATTATTAAATTGATGTATAAGATATAACTAAACCTTTTAGGTTATTGCATTATTACAACGATGATGGAACAAGTGTAACAGTTATAATTTCCAATGTAAAGATGTGAACTCGCACTAATAGACAGCCAGGGTATGTCGCTCTGACGTACTGTCAGACTTTGCTTCAATGAAGTGGATGTAAATTATGATGCTGCTCTCTGTGCAGAGAGAGATACACTCACCGGCCACTTTATTAGGTACCCCATGCTAGTAACGGGTTGGACCCCCTTTTGCCTTCAGAACTGCCTCAATTCTTGGTGGCATAGATTCAACAAGGTGCTGGAAGCATTCACCAGGGAGTTTGGTCCATATTGACATGATGGCATCACACAGTTGCCGCAGATTTGTCGGCTGCACATCCATGATGCGAATCTCCCGTTCCACCATATCCCAAAGATGCTCTATTGGATTGAGATCTGGTGACTGTGGAGGCCATTTGAGTACAGTGAACTCATTGTCATGTTCAAGAAACCAGTCTGAGATGATTCCAGCTTTATGACATGGCGCATTATCCTGCTGAAAGTAGCCATCAGAAGTTGGGTACATTGTGGTCATAAAGGGATGGACATGGTCAGCAACAATACTCAGGTAGGCTGTGGCGTTGCAACGATGCTCAATTGGTACCAAGGGGCCCAAAGAGTGCCAAGAAAATATTTCCCACACCATGACACCACCACCACCAGCCTGAACCGTTGATACAAGGCAGGATGGATCCATGCTTTCATGTTGTAGACGCCAAATTCTGACCCTACCATCCGAATGTCGCAGCAGAAATCGAGACTCATCAGACCAGGCAACGTTTTTCCAATCTTCTATTGTCCAATTTCGATGAGCTTGTGCAAATTGTAGCCTCAGTTTCCTGTTCTTTGCTGAAAGGAGTGGCACCCGATGTGGTCTTCTGCTGCTGTAGCCCATCTGCCTCAAAGTTCGACGTACTGTGCGTTCAGAGATGCTCTTCTGCCCACCTTGGTTGTAACGGGTGGTTATTTGAGTCACTGTTGCCCTTCTATCAGCTCGAACCAGTCTGGCCATTCTCCTCTGACCTCTGGCATCAACAAGGCATTTCCACCCACAGAACTGCCGCTCACTGGATGTTTTTTTCTTTTTCGGACCATTCTCTGTAAACCCTAGAGATGGTTGTGCGTGAAAATCCCAGTAGATCAGCAGTTTCTGAAATACTCAGACCAGCCCTTCTGGCACCAACAATCATGCCACGTTCAAAGTCACTCAAATCACCTTTCTTCCCCATACTGATGCTCGGTTTGAACTGCAGGAGATTGTCTTGACCATGTCTACATGCCTAAATGCACTGAGTTGCCGCCATGTGATTGGCTGCTTAGAAATTAAGTGTTAACGAGCAATTGGACAGGTGTGCCTAATAAAATGGCCGGTGAGTGTATGTGCTGCTAACTGCTTTTAAGCAGGTGGGTCTGGTTGTGGTTGATCTCAACAGAATGTTTTAAACGTGGCTCTAAGAAGTGTTTTAACTTTTCTATCCTGTGCTAACTGCTAGCATGTCTTGTATTATGTTAATAGAAGTTATGCCCTCCACTTTTCAGTCATCACCTCATTGCCAAAGTGCTCAAAATTGAATACATTAAAGGTGCTGTAGGAGATGTTGGAAAAAACGGTTCCAGCAAGCTATTTTTTGAATATACCCAACCATGCCTCTCCCTTCAGACCACCCCTTGAAACCACGCCTTCAAAACATATGAACATGCACACTGTCTGCAGAGCTGATGCACCGATGCAGAGCGCTATGATCACTCCTCTGAAACTGTTTATTAACGCATGCATCCTCGCATGGTGCATGCGCCATCTTTGTTGTGACAACAAGTCCGATAATGCCCATATCCCATAATGCCTTGTGAGGATTGGTCTTGCAAAGTATTCTGGGTGTCACTACTCAATCCATACCATCCATACCATCAGCTCATTTGCGCATCCAGATAAACATCCTGGTCACCCTCGATTTTATTTGGTAAAAAAGACCTAAATGACATTTTCCCTTCCCCAAAAATAGTAAGCATACCAAAATATATTGCGTTAAAGGTTAGTAATGTATTTCCTGAGAAAATAAATGCCTCAAAATCCTTTCTGTTTTATCACTCTTTGCCAAATCTGCACCAGAAATGGGATCCCATTCTATTTCTGTGAGCTAACTTTTTCGGCTTTGGATTCAAACTTAAATCTACTCTTTCTGAGTTTTATGTTTCCCTCTCATGTTAACATTATGGTATATAGTGCGTAATCTAAAGAAGGAAACAACTAAAAGGCAGATAAACATGGTTTAATCAGATTTTGCCAGACTGCCTTGAGCATGTCCCATGATTATGTCAGAGAAGCAGTTTAATGAAGAAAAGCATCAAAATTGTCTCAGAAAACTCATAAAACATTTTTTAAAGATGTGTATTAGCGTTCTTTAGTGAGTTAAGGATAGAAATAAATAATTTTAGTACCATATTACGTATTTAGGGAAACCCGGGTGTATATCTGTTCGTGCATGCGCAGATCAGATCGTGCTTCTGGGTCGGATCAGTAGTGACACCGGGATATATCTGCTCGTCTAGTGACCACCGATGATCACAACTTTTAAAGGTGCATTTTGGGATATTCAAGTCCACTACTTTTTCATCAACTCGACGTTTAGACACTCATCTAAAATGGCATAACTGCTATATGGTGCCCTATATAGTGATTAGGGCTGACATTTGGAGACAGCTACTGTCTAGTCTTTCTTCTGATGCCCGTCTGTCTGCTTACTCAGCTAGCAACCGTTAGCTTGGTAGAGTTTCATGAACAGAAGCCCATCATTTGGTGGATCTGAGTTCAATCATTCGGATCTAATTCATTCTTTTCTTTTTTAAGAAATCTATTTCATAATAACGAGCAGGGAATTTTACTTGTATTCAGTTTTATACAGTTTCTTAAATTAAATAGCGCCCCTTTAGCCATACAGCACGGCTAAAGGGTACTACTTAGATAAACTGTGAATAATCCAGAAAAAATAATAATAAAATCACATCCCTCAATTCTGTTTCTTGTCCAACAACTTCAGCCCTCCACTTAATAGAAGGCCCTGAAGTGGAAAGCTTTACAGTTTATATTGATAGTAGATGATATTATAAAGCACGACTGGGTCTACCTCACAGGGAGACTCGCACTGTGACCTCAGTCAGCAATGGGAGTTTATTAGGTCTTAAATGGCATTCATAGCTCATTGTGGAAGTCCAGGAAGGGGCTGCTTCCTATATCGCAGCAGCGACTTCATCGAGTGCATCCTGTCTGCAGAGGAGCCCAAACAGTCAGAAGAAATGTCAATTTTTACTCCCTTCATAACACGTTATTAACATCTCTACCTAATTAAAGCACAGCAAGGGTTTAACCCTCCTATTACAGTCCTATCAGTGCAGATGGGGCTTAGTCTGTGTTTATATTTTGTTTTGTACCTTAATAAACTGTTATTACAAAGTAAAAAAAAAAAAAAAACATTGAACAAAAGGCAGGGCGCCTCACTCAGGTTTGATAAAGAAAAGATTAAATGTTTTTATTAAATTCAGTGCAGGATTTCATTGAGATTTTTTATTTTTTAACCTCCAGGCTCAGAACAAGCAGACGGGGGTCCTGGCTGCTGCCAAAGTGATCGATACAAAGACGGAGGAGGAGCTGGAAGACTACATGGTGGAGATCGACATCCTGGCCTCCTGCGATCATCAGAACATCGTCAAACTGCTGGACGCTTTTTATTATGAGAGCAAACTATGGGTGAGTGTGAGGGAAGTCGTTATCAGCAGTGGCTTTGGAAGCATTTGATATGTGGGGAGGGGGCACACTGGCTAGAGGAGGAGAGGCTAAAGTGTGGCTTACCAGCTATGTGCTGCTTTTATCTCCATACTCTGGCTCATAGCGACTCTATTGGTCTGCTGAGGTTCTCATATTTGGGCAAAATGTTCAAAAGCTCTTTAAGGCAACCAGTGAGTTCATAGGAATCAATGCAAGCGGACATGAACTACTTCCTTCCATCCATTTTCTGTCATTCTTAATGCCAGCTGGGGTCGCAAGGGGTGCTGGTGCCTTTTCAGCTTTCTACGGGTGCGAGGCGGTTGAACTACTTCCAAAAAGTTGAATTTATTTAAGTCGTAGGGAAGCGGCTGTTCCCAAGTTGTATTTCCGAATTCTCCCTAGTTGTCCCCTACTTTACACGAGTGAATACAGTGAATGTGATTGGTCGATTATCAAGAGGGCAGGATTGTTGTGGCGGAAGGTTATGTTAACATGCTTATCCCAATTTACAAGTCTATAAAACTAATGTGACCACAGGAGAATGACCAAAATTATCTTACAGATGTTTTATCATATTTATTAAGGAGTTCAGTCCATATCTCCAACATGTAGATAAAATGATGTGAGATAAGCCCAGTTTAGTGCAGGTACCTGTTCACCGGGCCTCCTCCGTCTGTCGTCCCCCTACCACCTTCACTTATCGGTTATAGCTGATCTAGGCTGCTTTCTGACAAAAGTCCACTCCTGATTAACTCATAATATCACAGGACAGGCATGGTCAGGCCCCCTCTGCTGCTGCTTGTTTATCCTCCCTGCAAAAACAATCTAGAAATACATAAACATTTCTTAAATTAAGTGTATTTCCCCTTTATTTGAGTATGTAAATAAGATGATTTGCCAATAGAATTAACAGTTTTGCTCCTAAAATAAGATAATTAGATAATATGTACTTGAAATAAGACACATTTACCACCTAAATTCAAGAAAAAGGGCACTTATTTAAGGAAAAATGTCTTATTTAAATTTTTTGCAGTGCTTTGCTGTGTGATCAGCTGTTCCAAACAGCCATTTTAATAATTAATTGTTATGAGCAACAAGCTCAGGTCACTACCTTACTAAGAGAATATATGAAACATGTTTTTTATCATTGTCAGATGTTAAAATGTGGGACAGGTGGTCTGTAACGGGACTGTCCCTGGATCTGGTCACCCTAACATTAGTAGTGTTAGAACTATATTCAATAGATTTCTCTTCATTTATTAAAAGGCTATGGAAAAAATGTTTTTAGGAAAAGCTACAGGTAGGGAGATATCAAAGGGACCGGCGTTACATGTTACAAGGGCCATGCCCCACCCCTGCACACACACCCACACATAGTTATTGCGACACCACGGTTATCAGACATCATAAACAGCAGCAACAGGGGGGAAAGTCATTTTCAAAGGTAGCGTTGTGTTTTTAATGTGAACTTATTTTTGGTAATTCTGCAGGGATGATACGATAAATTAATTCTGAGATTGGTAGAAAGAAGGTTCTGGTCAAACAGTCAAACAGCTATTAATGCTGAAAAATCACAATTTCCATGATGCTTCCTATCGGTTCTCGAATTTCGATTCTTTTAAAGTCGCAGGGAAATCATATTTAACTAAAAAATCTTTTCTATAAAAAAAAAATCCTGTCTTAAAATCTGTGGGTTTTTTTTCGTTATCTCATACAGGCCAGTTAGTTATACGTCAGCCGGAAAACCTAAATTCGGCCGATCATATTTCAACGGTCATCTGTCAATCAAATTTTTTCGGTCATAGCATCTTGATTCATATGTCGCAGCTAATATACGCAACGGTTGAAATAAGAAATAAGAATCATTTACTATACCATTGAGTTCTGTCCAAGTGTTCACAGGGACGTCTGTGTCTTCGGCAGGCGTAGAACTAAGATGTTATGTTGTGTCGTTTCTAAGTCACCAATTTAGTGCTACTTGGTCCCAATGGAATTTCCCATTTGGAACCTACTAGCTCTAAGTTACTAACTGGTTAGCATGATGCTTCCGACAAACTGGCCACAACCCAACTTTCTTGCGAACCTTCCCCCACAATAATTCTGCCCCCTTTAAAATCGACCAATCACATTCGCTTTATTTACTCATGTAAAGTCGTGCACCACTCAGGAGAATTCTGAAATGCAACGGTTGGAACAGCCGCTTCCTTATGACTTTAAGAAGAACCATGAAGGTTTCCATATTTTAAATGATCCGGCGCCCAACCCTACTAAGGAACTGGCAGAGTGAACCTACAGAAATCCAAACAGGAACTTGGATGTTGTCAGGATAAACCAACCCACCAGCACCTTAGCATGCAGATTGTTTGATCTCCGCTAACTTAGTGACATCTCCCACTGAAACGACAGGTTATTTTAGAAACTGGATAGCACTTCATTTTGTCCTAAAGATGCTAGAATGAATGGTTTGCCACTGTGGAAGGTCAAACTGAGAGATCCGTCCCAAATAAGACAAACTTCAGGTTGCAGGTGCTGACATTAGGTGTTAGTATGTGAATATCCACTGTCTGTTTTCTAAATTGGTCCAGAACTATGTCGTTAGCTTGCATCATCCGGGGTCTGATGTAAAGTTGTTGCAAAATAACGTTCTTGCTGCATTATGGGAAAAAATGTGGTTAAAGTTCACATGAGCTGCAAGAACAAGCAGCTTTAAGAGCTGTTAATCATCATACCAGTTTGTAATCTGTCCCCTCTGCAAATGAGACCTTTGTTGTTTTTTTTACTTGCAGATGTTCAGTAAAAGCATTTATCTTTTTGCTTTTCAGTCTCAGTTTGATGTTGTACAGTTTGTTCCTTTGGATAAAAGTAAAGCCTGAGAGGTTAGCTAAGCTATGGGGAGTTACCCAGCTCCGTCCAGCCCAGTCATTTACAACCTGATTTGTCTAATCATGCAAATAATTGGAGCTGGTTGAGTTAGAGGGCAGGTACTGGAGCAGGGGTGCTTAGTGTGACACAGAAACATCACACTGCACCTTCTGTAAGTTAGCAAACGTCTGAAAAGCTGTTCTGGACGTTACAAACTATGGTGATCAGATAGGTTTTTAATTTCACTGTGCTGTGCTGAGCACTCTGCCCCTTTCCTCCTCATTGTCCTCTGAACAATGAGCTCAGTCTGATGGAGGTAGATTTTATATCATCCGCCTGTGGCACCTGTTCATGCAAAGAGGAGACACATTCCAGGACATTTCCTTCTCCTGATGAAAGACTTTATTCTGTAAAAAAAAAACAGGAGGTGACAACTGCTACTGATCTGCATTTCCTCTAAATGTCTGTCATTCCTGTTGTTGTTTTCTGCCATAACGTCCCGGTGGCATAACCTTAAACCACATCTGCCCTCTTTGTACCACATGAATGATTAGAAAGTCAGCGGTGCGCCATTCTGAATGAGGTTTGTGTCAAATAAACAAGTGGGAGAGGAAGCCGCGGCCCTGGCCTGCGGTTCCTCTGTGCACTGTTGAAAAAGCTCTGTGGGGGCCATTGTGCGATAGCAGAGCCTCTAAAACAACAGCACGCCTACTGAGAAACACTAGAACCGTGTGCACGTCGAACGGCCAAGAGCGCTCCAAGACCTGGGGCATTATATGGCCCTGAGGGGCTTTGTTGTTGGAAGTGGAGCAGTCCTGAAAAGCTCAACAGCACTAAGGAATTCAACTAAAACTTTTCTTTTTTTGTTGCTTTTCAGAGTTGGTCACTTTCTATTTTAAAAGCCGTCTGACCGGATCAAATACTTAGGCAAATTTGTGAAGCCAAGATTGTTTCTCAATGGTTTCTAATTTTGCAGAAGTGCAACTTTGCTTCTCTTTTAATCAGATAATAACACCCACAAATATTTCCCAATCTCAATCTGGCCAGAAAACTGTGTTGTAACCCTGCTGTAGAGGATTATAAAGAGACTCCAGATGCTACACGCGGTGCTCCGTTCATAGATACCGTAATCCTATTTACAGAATAAGGCCTGAGGTCTGGCACAGTGGAGCTGTTGTAAGAAACCCTCTCCTCAATGTGGCCTCAATCCTCTTACGTCAGCCGCCAAGCTGAAGCTTCTAAATGCCTTCAAGATTTTTTTCATTCACAGATGCTGGGCGGGGGCTTCTTTCTCACATTGTTTTAACCGGTGATTAGTCTGCTTTCGTTTAGACCTGGCACAGAAGTGTTCTTGGAAGAGCTGAATGTTTGTGTCTGAAACTAGGAAACCTTTAAGGCCCCGTGGTTTAGCTACGTTATAATCACAGAGAATCTTCTCTTTCTCCAGTGCATTTCTGCACTACTTATGGCTCCCCAGAAGAAGAACATCCCAGTTTTCTTTGGTTTACTGTTGGGTTATATTGAGGGTAGGATATAAAAACAGACTAATTAAAGCAGCACTAAGTTAGAAGAAGTCCGCTCAGCGAGGAATAATCAATGGATCATTGTTTATACCTAAAACTAATACATTCGCAGAGATTTCAGGAATTTAGTTAATCAGTAAAAAAAAATAAAAATAATAATTTTTGTCGCAATCACTGAATCTGAGCATGTGGTGCCGTCACGATTACGCTTCTGTTCCAACTGACCCATATTTATGCTGCATTCTCACCAAGTCCACACTTTTCTGGGTTCTTCTCAAGAACATACTTGGCGAGGACATGAGTCCGTACTTGCGTTATTGTGATAAACAGCAAAAATGTAGACAAATATAACAAACTGTCACCATCCTGAATGCTGAATGCAGAGGATCGTCTGTCTCTGGTACCGTCAGGAAAACATTGTTTCTGAAAACATTTATACGCTCACCTCCATGGCTTAGTGCCACCGCTGGTGGAATAAAGCTCTGCTGGTGCTGTTAAAGTGGGGAAAAGGTCAGGTCTCATGTGCTCTTCATATGCTTCTATTGGAAATAAAACATGTGCTGCAAGTTTGGAAAATGAATCCAGTCCTGTTCTCTTTTTCCTCTCATTGGCAGATCCTCATTGAGTTCTGTGCTGGAGGCGCTGTGGACGCTGTCATGCTCGGTGAGTCAGCACTTCCCACTTTGTATCTACTGTATTTCACCAAGAGGGAAACTACTCAAACTGTATTTCTAACCAGCAAAGAAAGTAAATGAAAAGGCAATTTACTACCATCTAAAGACATCAGCAGACCACCCACATGCTATCCCCCCCCCATTCTCCAAGGCACTGATTGTGGTTTAAGCCATATTACCACCTATAATTAGGCTGCATTAGTGTTCCCTGCTGAAGGAAATGTAAAGCAGGTTTATGTAAACCTTTCCTCTTCCATTCAGAACTGGAGAGACCTCTGACTGAGCCTCAGATCAGGGTGGTGTGTAAACAGACTCTGCAAGCGCTCGTCTACCTCCATGAAAATAAAATCATCCACAGAGACCTGAAGGCCGGGAACATCCTCCTCACTCTGGATGGGGATGTAAAGCTGGGTATGTCCACATTTAACCATTACTTATATGCAGGTTTTAGAGGGAAAGCTATGGGTGCTGTGGTGCAGCTTTTCTCAAACAATCATCAGATTATTTTATCTCCAAGTTGGGAACACACAAAGTAACATCAACTGTTTAGGCAGTGGCGGCTGGCCAATAGAGGGCGCTTGGGCACCGCCCCACCCGCCCAATGACCCTTATTAAGACATAAAAAAAATATTGTTTTTTTCTAATTTTATTTTTAATTAATATGTAAAGTATTTCAAAATATATTGATATATATTTTTAGATGTGCAAGATAAATATTTAATGTTTAATGATTAGTAGAGCGTCATTCCATTTTTCGTTGGATCGATGACGGATTTCCGCCCTAGGGCACAAAAATCTTTGCCCATTGACTCTCATTAAAATTTGTAAATGCGCAGTAGCTCCTCTGCAATACAGAGGTATAGGAGGGCTGTGCGCCAAGGTGTAAGGAAGTGTATTTGCTTACCACCTCCTGCCACAGCGCAGGCGTGTCGCGGGTGATTGACAGGTCGAGTCGCATTAGAGAGAGAGAAATGGCGCAAGAAACGTCCTTTTCCAGGACCTGGTGTAGCTACAAGGCTTAGCTAACTGCAAACAGCGAGGCTAAGGCTTTATTCTGCTGCTTACCCAGTATGGATAAAGATGGGTTGGACTGATTTGAAGCACTTTTTAGAAAAGGCAAAGAAATATAAACAATCTGGGATTCACATGGAAAATAATTTAATATAGTTGACTTTTTCTTGATGTTTGTTAGTTTGCATAGTTTTGCATAGTTTCTCTTAAATAAACACATTCTCAGAAAATAAATAGTTTATATATATATATATATATATATATATATATATATATATATATATATATATATATATATATATATATATATATATATATATATATATATATAAAAATATAAAACTGACTAATAGCTTCTCTATTTTTAAACTGGTACATTATTTTTTAGGTTTGTGAAACAATATTGGACCATGCAAAACAAAACTCCACCAGCGCCACTGTGTTTAGGATTAATTAGGGGAGTAGTTCCAACATTTCAGATCCTCTGTCTCACAGAGAAAAAACTCTGCTGTGGTGTCGAATGACATCATATAGATCATAACCCCTGTGCTATACTCAGTTGTTGCAACACTTGTAGTTTTAGCTTTTTATTTTATATTACATGTTAATGAGAGCCCTTAAGGCTGGCTCGCTTCACATGTGGAATGTTTAGCAGGAGACTTTGGCTACGTTCATACTGCAGCCTGAAGTGACCCAAATCCATTTTTCTTTTTGCCCATATGCGACCTGATCTGATCTTTTCATGGCTGTCTGAACAACACAAATCCGATTTTTTCCAATGCGACCCAGGCCACTTGGCTCTGCAATCCTGAATCCGATACAAATCTGATCTTTTCAAATGCGACCTGTCTGTGAACGGCCAGGTCGGAGTCATCCGACCTAAACCTCATATATACTGGACAAAGGTCACTATTATGCGTCTTGCTACGCAAAAGCGGCAAGAAAAACAACAACCATGGCAAATGATGATGCGGAGAGCAGTATTTATATTTATCCATATTGAAAAGATTGTGTTTTTATGGTTGGAAAAGACCGCTAGATGCGCGCCGGTACTACCATCCATGTTTACTTCCAGAAAAAAAGAGCATGCTGGCATGTGACGTCTTTTTGTCCTCTACTGCGCATGCAGGACACTTGCCTTGTATGACTGCAGTTCACTCAGGAGATCACAAACAAGTCGCATAAATTTGGAAATGTGAACGGAACGCAAAAAAATTGGGTTTCACTAAAAAATTGGAATTGAGTATCAAGGCCTGCAGTGTGAACATAGCCTTTGCTTCTTTATCTGTTGCCTGCAGAAGCTACATTGGCTGAAAAGCTGTGATTTGAGAAAAAAAGAGAGAAAAAAACCCAGAGATCACACAACATATTTGGGCGTTATCAAGTCTTTTCCGATTCAAATCCAACATTTATAGAATAAAACATAGCAGAGATATTGTGGTGTACAGCCATCAGAATATTGAGTTTAATGACGACTTTGGGTCTAGACTCCAGCCATTGTCAAGCAAATAAAAAACAGATATTTAACAAAAGCCTCTTTAAAAAGGACAGAATCAATCCCTCTGAGTAAATCTGCAGTGTAACATTTGTACCGTTTAAGACAAGAGCTATAAGATAAAATAAAATGTGACAAAAATTACATCGCTGTTGGTTATGGGTTTGTGGCTTTCCTGTCCGCCATGAGTTGTTTGGAACTGCTGACCACAGAGGACGCTGTAACACAGCCTTACGAGTCGAACAGAGGTGTCCGAGTATCTGCCTGCAGGAACTTCCACACAAGCAATCCTGATTCAGATTAAGCTTTGGTTTTCCTGACTAATTTTATTTTGCTTTTCTCCATCATGTGCCTTTCAGCTGATTTTGGCGTGTCGGCAAAAAACACTAAAACGCTGCAACGGAGGGATTCTTTCATCGGAACTCCTTACTGGTGAGTGTAGGATCAGCTGAAGATGGTTTGATCTTCACTCCTTTAAATTAGAGGGTTTTTTTCCGATTTTAAATGTGAATTATATTATTCCATTGGCAAATGTACATGTTTACCTGTACAAGTCAAAGGAAATTTCAAGAAAAGAATGACTTCGGCCGTTTCTCAATCTGTGTACTTGTGCGTTCTCTTGTGCTCGTGAAACGTCATCATCCTCAGCCCTTGTACTGTTCCAATTCACAAGAGCAGCAGACCAAGAACAGATAAAGTCCCCGGATGTTGTTCTCGCCCCTCCCTCTTTACCCAGCATGCATCAGAGCAGACTTGTCTGTTCTTGAGATTGACAGCTATCGCAGCATGCACTGTGGCAGCAGCAGCTTTCAATGGAGCGCCAAAAGAGAATTAAGTTAAAAGTTATTTTTTCTGTTGCTGTTGTTCAATAAAAGTACATTTTAAGACCATTTTAGGTGAGAACATTATATCTTGAAGCTTCACTTTACTGATTTAAAAAAAAAATTGTCCGAAGTTGAGAGAACTGCGGCAACCAGTGGAGCTCCAAGGCTAACGTCAGCCAGGGCTAACCGCAGCCCGTCTGTAGCAGCCCTCTCTCTGCATAGCTGTGTGTAAACTACCGCTGGCTATGATGGTGATACTTTTTGTTTTATTTGGCAAAATATTCATTTTATTTGTATTTATCTGACTGTGTTAATTATTATTCCCCAACTAAATGAATAAAGTAACAATTTCTTATCTAGAGCGGAGGTCTTTAACAGGGGTCAGCAAACCCCTAGAGGGTCCACGTAGGTATTGCATGGGGGTAGTGAAAGGTTCGGTTGATAAATTTTTTTTTTTTTTTTTATATTCCCCCTGCAATTTTTAACACTAATTGAAAAGTCTTTAAATCCACATTCAACACACTGTAGTAAACAGATAAATGACAATATATATAATTGTCATAACTGTCAGGAATTTTTTTTGCAACGTAAATCTGAAAATTGTTCTATGCTCAGTCACATGTCCAGTTATTACTGCATGTATTCTTCCAGGATTACCTTGTATTTGGGTCCATTTCCCCATCTACTCACACAATGGAAGTGTCTTTGATTCTCTATCTTTATCTGTCTTCCTGATGTCTTTTAGGTCCTTATTAATGGGAATTTTTAAGGTCAATGGTGAGTCTTGGATTTGTTTGACCCTTTTTAATCTTTATGACTCACACATTAGAGAGACAGGAAGACAGAAGGTGGCACTAGGACCAGGGTATTTCATTAATGATCACAAAACAAAAAGAGAAACAGATCGAATTCTACACACACTCTCGCATACATACCCACCCATCGCTAAAATAAAAAAAACAGCCTTGTTTACATTTTCCATTTCTTTCATTTTCTTCAGTATTTTCCACATTTTTGTTCTGAACTTCTCAGAGTCAGAGTCAATCTTTCCATTGCTTATATATTTTTTCTGCATTCAGTTCCTTTTGGAGGATCATTATTTAGACATTTTTTTCTGTCAAGTTGTGTGGAGGTTTGTAGAAGACTAGTGATGTTATGAGATAAACCGAGGCGTGTGTCGAGTAGTGAAGCGGACGTTCCCGCAAAGCGCATATCAAGGCTTGCTTTATATAAGGGAGGGGCCAAAATCGATGACATCCAAAGCCTCGCTACCCCGCCATACCACGTGTAATGCATATCTATCAAGGTTTCTCGATCCCAGTGGAAACCCTGCAAAATTTTCAAATCCAAGTCAGTTTTTCTTAAAATACTTGTATTTCTTTTGCTTTGTTTGGGTAAGTAAAACAGTTTACACAAAGAATAAGATGATTTAAGTTTAAAATAAAGAAGAAAAAAAACATCCAGTATCTTATATGAAGAGTATAATATATAATTATAATTTAAGTTAAAAAAATACTCACTTATTGACAGATCGATTATTCATCGATCATCGAGGGCAAACTGATTTAAATTGATAATATTTCACTTTTTTTAGATCCTCTATTGCATTTGCACAGGTAAAATAAAATAAAAAATAAAATTATTGAATAATATGCAGATGAACTAATATAAATGAGTTGTTTTCTTTTAAATTTAATCAAAACCATTTAATATGTTGGTAAGTTACCTTACTAAAATACTTCACAGTTTAGGGAGGATGAGTTGTGTAGAGTGACAGATAGTAAAAAGTTTTTTGCCTTCAGACCTCAAATTTTGGATTCATCTGAGCAGAGGACCTTCAGGAATGAATAACTGATCAAATCTCCCTCCTGAGCTGTATTTCTGCAGCTTCCCCAGTGCAACAGCTTGTTTTTGGCTGCTTTTCTCATTATATCTCTCCATGCAGAGAAGGACAGCTGTGACTTGGTGGTTTTACAGTTTAGTTGTACCGAATAGCATATATGGAATATATAATTAGATTAATTTACACATGGCTCATACTGTTTACTCACCGCGTGGTCTTTGCTAAAGGCAGGTTCTTTGTTTTATTCTGGGGTTTTCAAATTAAAGAGGCAGAAAACAAAAAGTTGATAATTAAAAAAAAGGTTTTAAGAAGTGACATAAATGTTCCAGGATGGCTCCTGAGGTGGTGATGTGTGAGACATCCAAGGACCGTCCCTACGACTACAAGGCTGACATCTGGTCCCTTGGAGTCACCTTAATTGAGCTGGCACAGATAGAGCCTCCGAACCACGAGATGAACCCAATGAGGGTCCTGCTGAAGATCGCCAAGTCGGACCCTCCCACCCTGATGCAGCCGTCACGCTGGTGAGTCACCGCTGGTGTCTCTGCTCTGAGATGTGCTCCTCTTTGACCCTTCCCGTAATTTACTGCGTTCAGGTCTCCTGAGTTCAGTGATTTCCTGAAGCGCTGCCTGGACAAGAACCTGGACAGCAGATGGAGCGCACCGCAGCTTCTTCAGGTACATTTCTCTGAATGTGTGTCGATCTCTAACACCTGGCCACTTTTAGGCCGCACAGCCCTTTCTCCCCCCACCTCCACCCGTGCACCACCTGCTATCAGAGTATAAGCAGCCCGACACGACATCTGTTTCCCCGCTGAGCCGTCTGCGCTCATCCCTTTGTCCCCGAGCTGACGTCAGCAGAGCAGGCTTTTCTTTTTCCGTCGGCTTTAAGGTGCTCGCTCAAGCCAGAGCCGTTCATTCACTCGCTGTGCAGACAGACAGACAGGTAGGCTGGACGCGTTCTGACTCACACAGCGAATACCGCACGCACAGACGAAGACTCCATGGGCATAAAAATCCAGAACAGTGGTCTGCCACCAATGAAGGTTCTCATATCGAAGAAGCTTCACATCATCAGGCCTGCCATAGAATATGTGCAGCAGATTTCTAAACCAAAGAAGGTGAGTTTTGTCTGGAAACGCAGATCCGCTGTTTAAATCCTGTGTTTTTAACTCTTCAGCTTCAAATGAGATGAGAGAAAGATGGCCGGCAGCTTAAACAACAAGCTGGTCTCGAATAGGGAGTGTTTGAGCTGTTATCAAAGAGTCAGTTTGCATCTCAAACAACGATTAGTCACCAGGGGTCAAGTCGCAGCTCCTTATAATCCTGAACTGCTTTTTAAAAAGTAAAGCTTTTAAAAGTATCTGCACCACGGGACGTTCAGCCCCAAATTAAAACATGGTCATTGTTCTTTGCAAACTCAAACATTTACTGAATGAACAGAAAATCAGGCGGTCTTGTGATTCATTGCTCTGATTCTGCTGTTGCAAAGAGTTGACCGACTGCTGCTACCTGTGAACAGGTTTACTTCTCAGCAGGAGAGAGACACATTCCTCCATTATGCTGCTTCAGAAATAACCTGTTTTCCCTTAGATCCACTTTGAAGATGGTTTTGGTTCTTCTATAACAGATGTTTGTTTGCTGCTGTCAGGTCATTAATCGGGTCTTTCTTCAGTTATTTGGTAGTCTGTAAACAGATCGATGTTCTCTGGAATGCAGCAAATAGGCCCTGCACCACAGAGACAAACATTCCCATAGCATGATGCCTGAAACACCATGCTTTATCGCTGGGGTTGTCTGCATGCTAGTAGCTCACTTTAGATCTTCTTTACTGATCTTTGGCATATCGACTGTTCAAATCATCCCAGTAATGTTTTTGTTTTGTTTTTTTGTTGCTTTTTTGTTTCTATTTTTCAGCATTTCAAATCTTTTTAGGTAAGGTTGGTTAAATGGGACAAAATAAAATAAAGATATACAGCATGAAACAGGAGTAAATGTATTATGAAAAAGATAAATGTCCCATTAACTTATAAAATGTAAAGGTAAACAACATTAAATTATTAATTTTTACCATTTAAATTATGACATTAATTAGACAAAATTAGTTTATTTGCATTTTTTTTTTATTATTATTTCACTCTATTTATTTTATGGTGCCTGGGCAGCAAACTTATATAATTTTTGTTGGTAATAGCTTTTTAAAAGCTTTTTTATTATGTATTGAATAAATAAACATTATTTTTAATTATTACATTAAAAAGGTACATTTAATTCAGAAATTGTATATTTATTTCTGTTTATATTTATTGGTACATTTTTAAATAATATAATTTTGTCCCCCTTTAACCCTCCAAAAATTGCTGATCATTCTTTCATTTTCTGCAGTTTTTTTTTCTGCATCTTCAGTTTTTATTAAAACACAGCTGTTCTGAATGAAGCGGATTGACCCTTTTTGTCGTTTTCTGCAGCATTCGTTCATCTCAACTGTAACTGACAGTCGTCCTCTGAGGGAACTGATCGCTGAAGCAAAGGCTGAGGTTACCGAGGAGATTGAAGAGCACAAAGAGGAAGAGGAGGAGGAAGAAACTGAAGCACATCTGGTGAGTAGATCCATCCATCCATCCGTCCGTCCATCCATCCAACAATCCATCCATCCAACAATCCGTCCATCCGTCCGTCTGTCCATTCGTCCGTCCATCCATCCAACAATCCATCAATCTATCCATCCATCCATCCGTCCGTCTGTCCATTCGTCCGTCCATCCATCCAACAATCCATCAATCTATCCATCCATCCATCCGTCCGTCTGTCCATTCGTC